TGGAATCTGGAAGACACAAAGCAAAAACCACTCGAGGCTCATTCAAAATACTCGCCTACCTCAAAGAAGAGGTGGGGCTGGAACTTCTGCCCCCAGAGCCCAGAGTGTGGGGTCCTCACTATCTACTCATGGTCACCGTGAATGCTTGTCTGTACCCCAAGCCAGTAACAGCACAGCACAGCCAGGTTACGACCTGCTGCAGAGCTCGGATCGCGAGCTCTGGGGATGACTGGCTTTGGCTAATGCACGTCAGGTTAGGTTCAGTATAATACGCACACTGTCTTGTTTGCACGGTCCTTCTTTCTTGAGTGGATGACAACTGGGCACGAGTATAGGTTCTCTCAAGGCAGAGCATTGTCTATACACGCCTAACATCTGCACACAGACAGGCGTGTGCACAGATCTGCGTAGCCACAAGCACACCCACCCTGCTGTGAGAGGGAGAGGCTGAGAACACCTCCAGCAGGCCCTGTGGGAAATCTCCCACCGGCGTGAGACTCTGCTTCCGCACGGCCACAGTCAACATCATCCGAACACTGGGAGAGACAGGCCAGGCTCTTGCTGAATTGCTGCGCTCTCCTTTGAAACATGTTCTGGATGCTTCTCTGAGACACAAGGTTCAAAGAGGCGAATCTCCCAACCATTCACCAGTAGGTCGGCTCTCATCATTTTTACCCTAATTAAGTGCACGGCCTGTGAGCCTGAATTGGCAAGGGGGGTCGGTTTGCTCTTAATTGTTGTTAAAAGAGCCAACAGTTTTCGGTCCTGGCGAGCCTCGGTGCCACTGGTCCCCGGGGCAGAAAGGCACAGACTCAGGGCCCTGGCAGAAACACGCCTGATGTCACACAGAGGGAGGGGCCGAGCCCCTCCTCTGCCTGGGGCTGGCCAGGCGGGCTCCTCATGCTTCCTCAGTGCTGGGCCGCGGCCGCTTCCTCCACACTGACCTTGAATAGTGCGCTCCGAGATGTACTTTTCCAGCTGATTCCGGAGCTTCGCCTCAACAGTGGGGTGTCCGTGGCAGCCATTGTCCACAAGCAGCAGGTGGGTGTGGTTGCTGTCCAGGATGTACAGAGGGTCCCTCTTGAAGTCGTCCATGATGTACTGAGCAGAAAAGTACTCCTGGGAAGCAGAGAAACGGGCCTGGAGACACTGTGTCGGCCAAGACGTGAGTGTAGCGCAAGGTAAACCCTTCGGGCTCACCTGCACTGAGGCCACGCCCAGACTGCCCAGTGCAGAAGGGTCTCAGAGCTCCTATGCAGAGGCCTTCACGTTCAAGAGGAAGAAGTGAGGCCCGGTTTGGCTGGCTGCTTGCCCACCGTCACAAATAACCCTCACTTCATTTCTTCCCTTGCAGAACAAACACTGACTCCAAGCCTCAGCAAGGAAAGTCACGGAAAGAAAACCCACAGGGGAAGCTCTCTTACGCCAGTGACAGTGCAGGGATCGGGCCCCAATCTAGTTCTCACTTCATCTCCCTGGGCTCTTTTTGGCTAATTCACAGCAGTTAGGCAAAGCAGTCTACATACAAGCATAGCCAGACACGTGTGCGGGAATTTACACATCCACGGAGACAAAGACATGCCATGTGTGTGGACTGTGTGGCTCCCGGGGGCGGGGGGGTAGACGTGCAGAGAGGACAGCCGCCCCCAAGACTTGGAGTTAAAAAGTGGGTCTCGGCCCTCCCTGGTGGCGCAGCGGGTTAAAGCACAGCACAAAGAAACCACTTCCGCATGGCATGAGTACGATTCCCGCCTGCCCCGGAGGAGACCACATGGCGAGCCAGACCTCTCCTGACCCGCCCGCTGCTCCCCTCAGCAGTGTACCTCATCGATCTGCCTGTTCTGCTCCCCGCTCTCTGTGTGGTGAATCCTCTCACCATCCCTGCACCTCTGGCCTGTACCCAGCTCTGTATCCATAAATAAATCTTTAAAAAAAAAAAAAAAGTGGGTCTCAAGAGAGATGAGTGAATCAGGGAGATGTGGGCTAACACACCGTGGAATACCACTCGGCGGTCAAAGAAACGAAAGCCATGACATCCGTGCAACGTGGCTGGAACTGGGAGCGATGATACCAAGAAAAAAGCCAGAAGGAGAAAGATAAATCACTTCCAGGTGGCAGGGAAAGAAATAACGAGCCCAGTAACGACAAACCCTAAAACCAAGCCCTGAAAGCTAACCACAGGCGGAGCATCTGGGGGGGGGGAGCAGAGGGGACTGTGCTGGGAGACTGGGGGGCCTTTGGCAGGGACGGCAGCGCTTCCTCGCCTGCTCGGATGTTAACAAGGAGGTGAGACAGTGGCCCTCGTGTTTTAAAAATTTGACAACTGTTTAAAGACAGTATTTCAAAAACAGATACTGTTTTGAAAAATAAGTAGATCGTTTAAAAGTGGGTCTAGGGGTCAGAAAATGAATATGATGGAGTGTCCACACTTGAGGAATGCGTGGCATGGGGACACAGGAGAGGCCTTCATACTCCTGTGTCCTGCCACCTAGTAACAGGGTGGAAGGCTGCCACGGGCGCGCAGAAAGGGTGCCTGACCCTCAGGCATTTAGTTTTTCAAGTTTGGGGGATGCACCGACATGGGTGTTTCAACCCGAACGTCAAGATCACACGCGAGGTTACAGACCCGGTGGGGAGCGGAGGCTCGAGGACTCCATGCAGACACAAGCAGCACAGAGACAGGTGAAAAGTCAAGTCAAGTGTGAGGGCCCCTCCCCAGGGCGCCCTTGCCCAGGCAGGCGCTGCAGCCCAGGGCCCCGGGCAGGACGGGTGAGACAGTTATTTCCACAACAGAGAATACTATTTCTAATACCTGACAGGAAATCTCCACACACTTTCCTAGAGCCCATAATCCTCACTGCACTTATGCCCTCCCAGAGCACAACACTGACTACAAAACCTTAACAAGGAGAGAATCCCAGCAGGGAAAGGCAAAGACTGAGCTTTCTGGTGGAGCAAGACACACAAGCCGCCGGCTAAGGAAACCCAGCAGGGTTACGAGGAACGCTGGTGGTGCTCCCACGATGCAGTCCGTTATGTCATGGCTTACAGGAGAAAAATAACAGCGTCACAGAAGACACGTATTTCATGCTGTCTTCATCCTCAAATAAGACTTTCAGCTGGAAACAAGAGGATGATGCCCTGTGACACTGTTAAATCTGTGCACGCCTATTGAACGGTTAGCTCAATCCAGCTGAGGAGCGTGGCTGGGACACTTACTCCACTAGCCATGACACGGGAATGCCTGTAGCTGCCACCGTCACTATCATTTCACACTCCACTGGGCGCCATACCCAAAGCAACCAGGTGAGAAGAAAGTGCAAAGAGTGGTAAATAAAGAAGCCGTTAAAACACACACACACACACACACACACACACACACGCTTTATCGAAGATGTTGTTGCAAACATAGAACACCCGGAGAATCTACTGAAAAATTACTGTCACAAGGGAAAGAATTTATAGAGTGTTGAATCCAAACGGCGGACAAATCAGTTTTTATACACCAGCAATAACCACTTCAAAAATGACCTTGACTAAAGACCACATTCACAACAATAATAAAATGCAAAGTCTTCAGAAAATAATGTGTGAGAAATGCATGGCTGAACTAACTTTCCGGAAAACACAGACTTGCGTAAGTGGGGGACATGGGCATATCCTCAGTTGGAAGAGGACTTGACAGTCTAACACGTCCAGCACAACACTTAGAATAACAGTAGGCAATATATGTGATTAAACAAATGGTAGCTGTTTCCATATCGTTGAATTATTCTCTTTATATTTACTAATAAATGTAGATGGCTATGCATTTCACTCTGAGTGCAGCTTTGGTCCTATCTCATTAGTCTTACTGTACTATATAGTGTTTCCATTTTCACTGCTCACAAAGTGACCAAGATTATATTTTCAAAAGTTCATTTTTGAACAGTAGTTACTTAGCAAGGTAATTTATTTGTTTCTTAGTTTCCAAGTGACTGAAGCTTTCTGTTTAATCTTTATACATTCATTTCAGACTTTACTTCTGACATAGAAGGAGCCCTCTATTTTGCCGTCTGGGATGTAGTGAAATCATTTTGTTGTTTTTCCAATTCAGGAGCAAAAAAATCTATTTTACAGTGTTGTTTATGTGGTCCTGTGAATTCATATACACAATGTACCCTTGACAATGATGATGGCTTTCACGCCGTGACAAACTTCTCTCACAGGCAGGGCATACCTTCCCACCCAACCTGCCTTCTCAGCCCTGAGGCTGGCATTCGATGTGAGGCCACTCTGCCATCCATGACAGAGCATCTCAATGCCAATAAAAGCCACCATTCACCCTCTGCCACCAATCTCCCCCAAGGGATAAGGTTTGTTGCTATGGAAACTCAGAGAAGGGCATCGTTCCGACCTAAGCAGCTAGCACAGGAGCATCTCTCCATCCCTGTATTTCCAAAGCCTGGCCTCCTCCCACTCCAGCATACTGCCTTTCTGGAAGACGCATAGGAAATGGCCCCCCAGTCTTCTCTGCCGCTGACAGACCTCAAAAATGGTAAGTGAAATGAAAGCAAAATCATTAAAAGAAAACAGTCATTTTCCGGATCTTTAGCACTTATCATCTAAACTTCTGAGGAGTGCCAGGTGGAAGGTGTAAATTAAAGTGGGATTTCTCAGCCTGTGGTCCAAAACTTCTGGGTAGAAAACATCTGTTGCTTAAGGAGGTGTTCATCTCGACCAGAAATGCTGAGTCCACACCTAACACCCCATGTCTGCCCTACATGTCTACCTTATATTTCAAACATTGCATGTGTTGATTACCCAGCAGGGGGCTCTAAGCCTCTTGTATGCCAGGGATTGCTGCAGTGGTTTTAATTCCCATGATTATGGCCAAGCGAAAAATATGGTAGTCAGGGCTTCAGCCATCTTGGGGTGGATTCAAGGCATGGCTGTGACGAAAAAAGAACTGATTGCCACACAATATTGCTGGGAGCAAATTTTAACAGATTAAACACCTGAATTGCAACTCCTCTCAGGAGCTCCTCGACTGTGGTGTTCTTGGTCTCCATTCTGAGGTCCCAAAGGTGTTCCTGGGCAGGCCAGCTTCCCATGAGTAGGCTCCAGCCCAGAGCCCGGAGCACAGGCTAACAGCCTGGGCTGTGCTCTTCCTCCCATGTGCTCAAGGAACCCCCCCACCTGTACCTCATCGTCACAGTTCCTAATGAGGCTGTCCCTGTTGGAGACCATCCCCCAAGCAGCTATGCCAATGGCCACAACGTTCTCCTCTGAGTTCCTGCTGATGGTGTTATCTCTCACCACCTCCCCGATGTTCTTCATCAGGCCATAATGGGTGCCTCCGGTGAAAATCCAAGCACCTGTCAAGAGGGAAGAGCAACACTCAGCTGGTCCTGAGCAAGGTACTGGACCTGTGCTCACAGGCCCCACATGGAATCTTCTAGACATGACCCAGGTGCCTACAGGGTTCCATTGCTTTACAGGAACACAAATTGCACACAGATGCTCTAAGGTGCACATCTGATGTGCTTCATGATCTAAAGATTTTGCAGAGATTTTGTTTCAGTTTTTCAAATTGAAGCAAGTAAATAACAGAATGTAAAATTCCAGGTGATGACTCTCGTCTAATAAGGCCAAGCAGAATCCAGCGGGAAGCAGCTCTCCTGCCACAGGGGCCTCAGAGGCACAGAGACAGAGAAGCTAAAACATAGGGAGAAGCTAAAACATCCCAGGCCTTAGCAGGTGTGCAGTAAGCAGCTGTTGGGTGAAGGAAAGATGCGTGTGAAGGAAGTAACTGCCCTCTGGTTGGCCTCCAACTGACCACCTCGGGTTGGTAGGAAATGGGGACGTGTACGTGGGGTGGGTGGTAGTTACCTCTTGAACTTAAGGAATAGCTCTTATTTAAAATAAGACATACTGAGCCAACTGTTTGTCGTGTGTGTGTGTGTGTGTGTGTGTGTGTGTGTGGAAGAGCTGGGGTGCAGCCGGAAGTGCAGGCAGTGAGAGGACTCACCAGAGACAGAGCAGGGAGCAGAACAGATGGAGCTACTGAAACACACTGCTGAGGAGAGCAGCCAGGAGACAGGAGAGGTCTGCTGCGTCCTGGGGGTCACACCCCGCCGGGGATCAGACTCAGGCCACAACAGTGATAGTGCCGAGACTTAACCCCTACACCACCAGGGAGGCCACAAGCCAACTAATTTTCTTAACAAAGAAGTTTTTTAACATTAGGCTTAGATAAACTGATAAAAATAAATGCAAATGTCCCATAAGTTGAATTTCATGATGAGGAAATATCAACATCAACCTCAAATCAAGGGACCATCTATGAGAATAATCAGCCTCCGCTCTAAAAAATCTCGCGAAGACACTCAAGAGCCGTTCCAACAAAAGGAAGCTTTTTAATTTGTTTTGATATGAAAAGCTAAATATTTTGGAGTCCAGATGGGAAAATAAATATTTCTTTTTTTTCTCTAAAGTACACTGTCAGAGAAAGAAGCAAAGTGAACGCATGGGTGATGCAGGTAACGCATCTGTCCGTGACAGCTTCCGCTGCCTGGCCCTGTCCCAGACGACCCGCTGCCCCTGCTCCAGGCAGGTCCAGGAGGACACTAACCGCCATGGGTGCGACACCCGCTGTTGACACCGCTGTTACTGTCAAGGGACCCCCAGCCAAGCCACGCTGTGCAATACTTGGGAAACAGAACAGTTGGTAATTCGGGCGTATGCAGGTGGTCGCTGGATAGTTCTAGGCACTTTTCTGTAGTTATCGTGTTTCACCACACGAGGTTGGAAGCAAAACCAATGTTAAGTGGCCAGTCGGAGTTTCAAAGCCACACCTGTTTTGATCTCGAACACTCTGGGGGGTCCAGCCGGTCGGGAAATCACTGTTCCCGGAAGTGAGTCACTGATCTCAAAATTACAAGAGAGGCAAATAAAAGCAACCCTTTCGGTTCACCAGAATATTCTGGGTAAAACTTTATGGGCAGAAATAACAAGGAAAAACATTTCAGTTAATAAAAAAACAGAAAAACACCCATAAGGATACCCCTTAGCCCTGTCCTGGCCGTTTTGTGAAACAGCACGCACCGCCCGCCAGAGGCCCCGCCTGCCCATCACTTAAGGACCTGGCTTTTAATGAGATTATGATTAACATCTAGTCCT